CAAAAAAGCACATAAATGTAATTAATTTAAAATACAAAAGTACAACATAAAGACATCAGCTCTAAAAGAAATTTAAATTCTGCCAGAATCAAGAGTCGAGGACAGTTTCAGCGGTCCAAATACAAATAGGCTAATCATTCCACATGTTTGGTCTGTTATTTTACTATTGTTTATAATGTTACTTTATTCTGTAGTGTCATCTAATTATTTCTGTTATGTATCAGATAAATCTTAATTTCATCCTTGATTTAAATTTTTACAGATCTACAGCTGGATGGACACGCTAGTGGCTCAGCACCCCAACGTAGTCACCAAGCTGGAAATTGGCAGATCTTATGAGAACAGGCCCATGTATGTGCTGAAGGTAGGACGGTACTGTTTCAGCCTCATTCTACATCTGCAATAAATGTGTATGTGTGACAGGGTTTGTCTTGACCTACCTACCATCATCAAAGATGACAAAAAACCCCAACAGAGACAAACTTGGTTTTGGAATATTTTTAGGCTGAATATAAAGCATTAGGGTGTAAGGCTCTGTGGTGGCACTGTGGCTCAGTTGGTAGTGCTGTTGCCCTTTTAGCAAGAAGGTGGTCGGATCAAATCACGGTCTTTTTGGGAAGGGTTTGCATGTTCTGTAAAAAACATGAAGTTTGATTGGTAACTGGAAAATTGCGTAAGTGCGAACGGTTGTTTGTCTTTATGTGTCCCTGGTGGACCCGTCCAGGGTGTACCCCGCCCCTCCCACACTGGCTGCTGGATATGGACACCAGTGATCCTGAAAGGAAGAAGCAGGTAAAAGATAATGGATGGATGGTAAGTCTCTAACAGCATCATTTGTTATTTTTGTGTTTAGTTCAGCACTGGGGGCAGCAAGCGCCCCGCTATCTGGATCGACCTCGGTATTCACTCCAGAGAGTGGGTGTCTCAGGCCACAGGGGTGTGGACAGCCAACAAGGTACAAAATGCCAGCAAACATTAGCCCTTTGAATTCCTAACCCTGACATATACTGTACGTGCTTCACTTTTAGAGCTTTCTTTTTAACATGAACCTTATGTTCCTGCTTAGATTGCCAATGATTATGGCCATGACGCCTCCCTGACCTCTCTTCTTAACACCATGGACATTTACATGCTGATCCTGGCCAACCCCGACGGTTACGTTTACACCCACACCAACGTATGTCACCATCACGCTACCCTTGTTGAAGCTTTTAAATATGAAACCTGTTTTTATGGTGCATAAAAGAAAATCTTTCCAGAAATGAGCCAAGTATTCTTTGTTTTCTTATTTGAAATCATGCAATAGTTAAAGCACTTTTTAAATCATTAGCAGACAAAATGAACACTTACAGTAACAACAGGACACTTACTGACTGGTGCTGTGTGATGTACAGGATCGTATGTGGCGGAAAACCCGCTCCCAGAACCCAGGATCTGTGTGCCGTGGAGTCGATCCCAACAGGAACTGGGATGCAGGCTTTGGTGGTCAGTATTGTACAGATCTTTCTTTCTTTCTTTTTATTTTACTAATTTGAATCTCTAATTGAGGATATATAGAGTGTATGCCTGTCTTTATTTTTTTTTTACTTAAAATTTTGCCTTTCTTGGCTGAAGTCTTAGACAAGAGACTAATAAGAGTTCAACTGTTATGAGACACTTTTCACTCACTGCAATGTTTTTTATCATCTGCCAAAAACTTTGCTATAAACCAACCAAATCTTATAAATCAGCAGATTCATATTGGTTAGCTCTTTGATTTACATAACATTTCATTAAACAAATATGCACTTGATGTCATCAGGGGGTCAAATGTTTCATTTTTGTTACTTGACACCTCTGCTAATGGTTAATTATTTTATTATTTAACTTTTAAACAGTTCATACCAAACTTTTTTTCTGAGTGAGAGGTCTGCATTAACACTGGTGGTACTTCTTTCTACTATGGAATTAGACAGTAAGGAACAGAAGAGGAGCTGAGAGAAATCCAGGTTCTTACTTAAGAGGCAAAAAGCATGAGAATTTATTTTTTCGCTCAGTGGATAGGATTGAGAATAATACAGTTTTGTCATATATTCTATGCCCCATATATGGGGCGGCTATGGCAGAATGGTTAGGGGAGTCGTCCTGGAACCAGAAGGTCAATGTTTCGATCCCCCGTCCAGCCGCCTCAGTCGTTGTGTCCTTGGGCAACCTTGCCTACTGATGGTGGTCAGAGGGTCCGGTGGCGCCGATGCATGGCAGCCCCACCTCTGTCAGTGTGGTGTGTGAATGTGAGTGTGAATGGGTGAATGACTGTTAGTGTAAAGCGCTTTGGGGTCCGGAGGGACTTGAAAAGCGCTCTATAAGTTCAGTACCATTTACCATTCTACCTCTACAATGACAGTATTGTCACGAATGTGGTAGTTAATGTCCTACAGTATTGTGATTTGATAACAGTGGTGCATTATATACCGTTTTGCAAATTTATGTTTTCAGTATTTTTTACTACCTCCTTCCATCTCTTACCATTTACATTTGTTTTTATTATGTTGTGTGAATGAAAGCGTCTTACATTGGGAGAATTTAATCTTTTTTTTATTGACGTCTGTGATCTGTGTTTTTGGAGAAGATGAAGCAGGATACTTGAAGTGCAAATGAATCTATTCATTTAGAACAGTGGTCCCCAATCTACGGCCTGCCTCCCCATTTGGTCCGGCCCCCAGAACAATACCAGAGAGCATTTAGTTATTTTTTCATATATGTGCATTTATATTTGATTATAAAGTTGGACTTTTGCAATAAAATGTTCCTTAGTTATGAACTATTTTCATTATTAACTATTATTAGTTAGTAACTATTTCATACAAACATGCATATAACGTGACATTCTGTTCCACCCTTCTGCAGTCTGTGCCCCTATCTGGCAACCCCCAGAAAAAAATCCTAAACCCGCCCCTCTCAAAGAGAGAAGGAATAATGGCGAAAAGATTAGGTAAGAGAAAAATAGATTCAGAATGCAGGGCATTTAAGCTGCAGTGGACAAATGATTATTTTTTTGTTCATCTGTCAAGAGGTGGTGGCGGTATTCAAAGAATACAATCTGTGGCGACACTATGAATCCCGTCACAAAGACAAGTATGACAGCTTACAAGGCCAAATGTGAGCAAACAAACTCTCAAAGCTAAAAAGTGGACTGTTAGCTCAGCAGAATACATCCTGTGAAGAACCCAGAGAGGGTTATTTGATTGTGCTTTCTGGAAAACAATACATTTTTACATTTAGGCACTCCTGCAATACTCACACTTTTTCTGTTACAAACTGACTCCGGCCCCCCACCAGAGAAGGGAAAAGTTATGTGGCCCTTACAGGAAAAAGTTTGGGGACCCTTGCTTTAGAATGTCAAAACACAGGCTTTGCAAACCAGTTTTATTGCATCTGATTACCCATGTTTCTTTATTAACTGAGTGTTTATTGTGCGTATCAGGTACAAGCCTGTTGACTCAAATTAAATTATTTTGTAAAACTGTCTCCATGACTGCATCTCCTGCTGTAATCTCATGTGTCCAGGCCCTGGTGCCAGCAGCTTCCCCTGCTCTGACTCCTACCACGGCCCTTTTGCTCACTCTGAGATCGAGGTGAAGAACGTGGTGGACCTAGTCAAGGGCCACGGAAACTTTAAGGCCTTCATCTCCGTCCACTCCTACTCCCAGCTGCTCATGTACCCCTATGGCTACTCCTGCTCAAGCATACCCCATCAGTCCGAGCTGGTAAGATTCATGAAAAAAGAACGTAAGATGGGAGGACATTACGATCAATTACATTAAAGCATGTGTTGTAGATGTTATTTTAGTGATTTTAAGGATGTTTTTCACACCAGAGAGGCTGAACTTATTCATTTGTCAGTTATTAGATATACTTTCACAGCTTATTAATGTTTAGAGTCAACTCAATTTTAAAAAGCTGCCACAGCCAACTGACCCTAAAAACACAAAATATTAATAAATCAGTCAGCTTTAGAGGTACGGACATAAAATTTTGTTTGGTAGTATCATGATTTGTGGTAGCGATGTTGCTCGACACCTACAACTAATTTTTGTTACGTCACATCGGTGTTGATCTGTTTTGTGGGAAGTCAAGATTTTTATTGAGTCCTTATTTACATGAAAGTAGTGGTTTTTTTTTGACAAAACGTGTCACATGAAAGGGTCTTCAAAACTGGAGTGATAGACACAAGAAGAGGAACAGGCTAATGTCCATCTCAGTTGATTCTTATTTTTAAATAAAAATTATCTTTGAACCCCAAAAATAATCTTCTAATCTCATCCAGCCCAGCTTCAGTCAGTGAATATTAAAACAGTTATTTAAAGTTTTCTCATTCTTTGTAAATATATTTTGGTCTTTCGATCTATCTTGCAAATGCACATTTCTATTCATTGAAATTATGTCAAAATGCTGGTGCGAACTCAGATATGGAGTTGTTTTTACATTTGGGCAGGCAGAGGCAGTCAACATGTTTAGTTGGTGTGATGAAAATGGAACTGGTTTCAAATCTCGATTCATTCCTTTTTAAATTTTCTAAACACACTGCTGAATGCCGTGGTATTTTTCTAAATAACTTGTTTTTACTCATTTATCTAAAATCTCATCTTATCTTTACTTCAATATAATGTAGATAATTGCCAAAACTTTTAAATTTTTTGGCCATATTTAGTTTAATATAATAGTTATTATGAGCTCCAGGTTGACATCAGTAAGACCAGCACCTATGTCATCATTATACAGTGTTTGAGGAGGGCACAACTACATCGTACTGCGAGAATTTATAATTATTGTATTTTAAAGTAAATTGTCAAAATTTTCTAGATGGCAGCAACACAGTTCATTCTACAATTATAGACCTTTGCATTTCTTTACGGAATGCAAGTTTTTTTTATCAGTTCTCATTTTCTTCATAATACTCTCACAGAACCAGAAATATCCGCTGTTTTAGTCCAGCTACATTTATACTTCTTTAATTTTGTGCAGGACTCTATCGGCAAAGCAGCAGTAGAGAAACTGACTTCTCTCTATGGCACCCAGTACAAAGTTGGAAGTATCTGCAACATCATTTGTAAGTATTTACCCCGTTAAAAAAATGAAATTGAATTCTAAAGCTGCTCACGTATTTTCACATTTCTCCCTCTGCTCTCAGACCAGGCCAGTGGTGGAAGCATTGACTGGTCTTATGATATGGGCATCAAATACTCCTTTGCCTTTGAGCTGAGAGACACCGGGCGCTATGGTTTCATCCTGCCGGCTGCTCAGATCATTCCCACCGCCTCAGAGACCTGGTTAGCCCTGAAGCACATCATGGAGTATGTCCGAGACCACCTGTACTGAAGAGCCTTTTGATCGTGCTGAACGGTGCAGTTTTAGGTCAACCAGCTCAGTTTCCTCAACATTCTGTGATCAATAAAGACACAACAAGCTCACATCTGTGTTCCAGTACTTCTCTTTTATCTTTCAGTGTTTTTTTTTTCTTTTGAGTGTTTTAGAGCAAACAAGAAGCACAAATCAGGGGCTTTAAGTATTACTACACTGGCTTAAATGAGAACAAATGTAAAAAATCCCTTCAACACTTTTCTTGTCATACTGCATTTCCTTTATGCACACACCATGTTTGAAACATAAATAAATCCATCCATCCATTCATTATTTTTATTCGCTGCTTCCTTTTAGGGTCAATGATGCTCATATCCAGCAGTCAGTGTGCGAGAGGCGGGGTTCACCATTGACAGGTCACAAGTTCATCACAGGGACACATTCACTCTCTCACTCACACTTAAGGACAATTTAGAGTTACCATTTTGCCTAGCAGGCATGTTTTTGGTCTGAGAGAGGAAACTGGAGTGTCTGAAGAAAACCAATGAATGCACTATGAGAACTTGTAAACTCTACCCAGAAATGTCCAGGATTTGGTTCGTCAATCTTCTTCCTGGACGTTAACAACTCTACCCACTGAGCCACCGTGCCACCACACCACCACATGAATAAATGATTGAGGCAAATATAAAATAAAGGCCTAGCATCAGGTCCCGGATACAAGCGGCCGAAATGAGTTTCCTCCGCAGGGTGGCTGGGCTCTCCCTTAGAGATAGGGTGAGAAGCTCGGTCATCCGGGAGTGACTCAGAGTAGAGCCGCTGCTCCTCCACGT